CTTCCAACCCTGACCATTCTATGATTCTATGTATGGTCAGGCAGAGATGGAGGATTATGTTGCTGATTGAGAAACCTTACTTAGGACAAATAGAACAAAAACCCCCGCAAATCTAAATGATGTTTTGGTTTATTTCCTGTTTTAGTTTGTGATGTTCTTCCTCTAATAATTAACAACCCCGATGTTCGACTTCCTGCCAGCTTATTATATAAATATCTGAATAAAGCAGCGGAATTTTACATTAACTATGTGACTAGATCTACACAGACAGAAAGCCAATATCAAGGTAAGAACATTACAAAAGTAACCTGCCTTAGAATGTATTTTAGTATTACTGAAGTGATGTGCATTAATGAAGAATGCATTACTTTTATGTAACGTATCCCGTAGACAAGATTCATAGTAGTATTTGATGTGTCTTTTGTTCTTTGATACTAAAATACTTCATGATGCTTCAACTATTTAGTCATGATGCTTCGGCATACATACTGAGAGGTAGAACAAAATGTCCAAGATCTCCTTATCCAGCCTGTCAGCTCCGTTGTACGAGGAGGCAGAGATGCCTACTGCTCTCTGTTAGCCTTCTCAGTAAAGAATGGTTACCCTGAAATCTTCAATGTACATTTTTACATGTCTTCTTGAAAACAAATCAGTTGGTTTGATTTCTTTATGAAGAGAAGAATGTGCTGTTTTTCCTAGGTTCACAAGATTCTTCTGATATTATGTCTCCAAGCAAGCGTAGCTCTCAGAAGTATGTAATAGATGGTCTCACAGAGAAATCATCCCAGATTACAGATCCTTGGGAGAGACTATTTAAAATATTGTCTGTGGTGGGAATGAGGTGTGAATGGCAGATGGATAAGGGAAGAAGGTGAGAAATGTGTACTTTGGGTATTTTTTCTCAAGGAGAATATGGCTTTTTGATTCTGAAGGATATGGGTTGAAGAAGGATTTTAGCATGAGGATATTTTGTGTAAATTCAGTGCAGCTTTTCTTTCAAGATTGTGCAATGTAAGGCAAAAACGTGGATCCAAGGAGCACTTTCAAATTAGTCTCTAAACTAAATCTTTGTTGAAGAAAGTTGTATATAAGAACTATAGTACTGTGGGGTAACCTTCCCTAGATGCCCCAGCGAAGAGAAACATGGTAAGTGTTAAGTGAAGTTTCACTGGCATGCATTCCCAGCCTCCACTGACTTGCAGCTGGAAGAGTTCCTCAGACAAAACATTAAGTTTTTCATATTCATTCTGCATTCTTTCCTTTAGTTTTGGAGTCTGTGTAACATACTGCATTCTTTTTGTCTCTCTTCCTCAGAAGTTTTGGTGATATTTTGCATCGAATGAAAGACCTCTGCAGGTACATCAGTAACTTTGATAGTGATGCACACGCTAAATATAAGAATCAAGTAGTGTATTCCACGATGTTGGTCTTCTTTAAAAATGCATTCCATTATGTCAGCAACATCCAGCCGTCGCTCTTTCAAGGTTAGTTTCTAATGTTTCAGCTTTTGTAAAGAGTTGTTTGTGATTCCATTGCTCATGTCTGAAAGATCTTTTCTCGTTAGTCTTTTGAAACTATCATCTCACAAAGTGATGTGGGTGCGTTTTAAAATTTTCCCAAGCCATTAGTCTTACCAGCAGTAGTTCATGACAACTGCTGCAGTGGATCAGACAAAGATCAGTCTAACTTAGCATTACAGTTTCAGCCTTGGCCAGCAACAGTTAGTTGCATGGCAGACAGAAAAGTAGCAGCCCAGATGTTATGAGAAACATCCCTAGGGCTGATTTGTACTTTTCCATCAGCATCACCTCTGTTTCATTTTCTCCTCTGGTTCTGTTTCTTTGACATTTTCCTAGCTTCCTTCAGTCAAAAGATTGTACAAACAGCTTCCACAAAACAAGTGAAGATATTTTTGCATTAGAAACACACAACAAATCTATAATTAATCAAATAAAAACTGAATAGGAAAAGATTTCCTGAAATTCACAAGCTTCCAACTTGGCTTTCTTTGTATAGTTTAAGCATTATCTTTAACGTGTGCTTTGCACATTAATCCTAATTTGTAATTAATTTTTAAATCGAACATTTAAAGTATGAATATTACCTGTGCTTTTTCCTGCCCACTCATATCTGCATTTGGGGCATATCACATTGTTTGGAACACCTTGGATTGTTTCTTCAGGTATTGACTGGACTTTTCAGGGGTCACCAAGAAGCTGAGGGAAGTTCTTTAACCTCTGGTTTGTTTAGAATTTATCGAAATAAACAGCATCATAAAGGGGAAATTTCAGCTTTTTATAATGTGCATTTCCTGCTTCTTCACTCACTGCTCAGGAATTCTTTGCAACAATAACAATTATCACCATAGGTAATTGGTACTTAATAACACTACAGCTACCATTTCATGATAAAATTACAATTTTAGTTTTGTGCATGGTGTTGATAAGTTCCATCACAGTTTCCTCTGTGGAACAAGTGATCATTTGAATAATGAAACACTCAATACATTTGATGAGTTCTAAACAACTCCGAAAGTGGGGTAATCAGTTGAGCAATGTCAGTAGATAGCTAAGCTCAGAAGACATGACATGGCAACTTGTGTGCAAAGAACATGCAGTCACTTTAACAAATACAGGAACTATTTGAGTTGAATTTTTTGTTCTATCCAGAGGAAAGAAGAGTTGTGGTGGGGCAGTGAGATACTTTAACTGGTCATATAGTTTTAGCTGATTGATTCTGAGTAGAGGAAAAAAGGAAGTAAAGCATTGGTGAAAATGTTCCTTTCTAAGTTGTACAATTGAGTATGTTAAACCTCTTGTTTTCAGGCTGAACCACCAAAAAAATTAATGTATACTGAGGAAAGACAGTAAAGCACTGGTGAAAATGTTCCTAAGTTGTATAATTGAGTATGTTAAACCTCTTATTTTCAGACTGAACCACCAAAAAAATTAATGTATACTGAGATAGCAAAGCTTAGTCCCTTCAGTGCAGCATTTCTGGTACCCTCTGTCATTTCCTGACACCAGGAACGTATTTCCAAGACATCTTTTACTCATTTCTCCTTTAGCATTAAAGTCTAGTGGTATTCAGTGCCTCTCGTATCCTTTTTATCATTAGGGTTTTTCCTCCTTTTCTTTGGAGGGCTCACTGTAGAAATGTAGAATCCTACATATTTGGAAGTATAGGTGGTGAGGAAAAAAGCTGTCTCCTCCTTAATCCAGTAGCTCTGAGCTTTGATCTGTGACTTTCTTCTCATGTACATGGACTTGCAAGAAACCTCTTGAGAGAAAACTTTTCAATGCGTCTCTTACATAATTCATATCTGCCTTGCTGGAGACTTGAGAACTGAATGAAGCAATTCACACCTCTCATAACTTTCAGGCTGCCTGCAGGCTTGGCAGGAGTTGCTATTTGGGCTGATGCTTTTAGGGGTTTATTTATAACACTGTGCTAGAAATCAATTAAAAACTCTGTAAGCTTAGATTCTAGAGCTCGGTTAGACAGAAAGACACAACATTGCTCTTTGTATGGCTGTGTAACTTGCAGTCATTTAAGAGAAGGTTTGCAGCCCAAGTCAAGGGTGAGGTTAGGTTGTATTTTGTTTTAGAACTGGAGGTTTTGGAATAAAGGCTACAGTGTGCTTGCCTGCTCCTGACAGGAGAACATTTATTTGGAAAGCAAAGCACTTAACTGATACCCGTTCAAATCAGTATGAGTAAAAGGAAAACCTACTCTCTTCTTCACAGGTGTTAGAGGAGTCAGCTCTTGAGATTCTAGTGATAAAACTCTTCCAGCATCCCAGCTGTGGTACTTTCGTATCTTTCTTATGGATACTATTTTTTACATCATGACTTGGCTCTATTTTCAGTTCACATAGGTTAGATTCCAACACAGAGGAATATGTGATCATACAGGGGAGGTGATTTCAATGTGTTGTAGCCTTTGTGTAGGGGACATTTCAATGGTGGTAATTAGTTTAAACCTGGTCAGATAAGGTAACATTATTTGTAAAGTGTGCCAGGTTGGTTGTTTCTTGTAACATTAACTTCTGTTGTAGTGGACTCCTTACACATCACTTCTGAGTAGATGGGAAGAGCTTAGTAGGTTCTTTTATGTCAAGAGATTAAATTAATTGTCCTTATACTAAGTTCTCAAATTAGTTCTTTGCAATTATGAATGAGGCCTTAGCCTCATATCTTTCTGCAAATAGAAATGGAAGAAATACACATACTGAAAATACTTGTCCTCGCTACTGTCTTGTCTGGTGGAGATTTCAAACAGGGAAAACAGATCAATGGATTTCCCCTTTCCTTTATATTTCTCTTTGTCTGAGCTTTGCTTATCTGTATACAGCTTGATTGTGCAAAAGGAGAAAATGTTTTTGGAAGGAAAGCTTTCTCAGTAGTGTCCATATACCAATGTTGTTTGAGATTAAGAAATGGTTTTCCTATTTCATATCTAATGAAACTTAAGCATTGAGGTCTGAAATAACAGGCACCAGATCCCACTGGATGTTTTGTGACACCAGTGGAAGTAGAAAGTATGAAGCAGTCATACTGTCATATAGAGCAGTCTTCCGTGCTTCAAAATGAGGCTTCTCTGGAGGCTTTGGGGAGTGATGATGGGCTCTGGCAATCAATTAAAGGTTTAATTCTGTACACTGAAATCAGTGGGGGCATGAAATAACAGGCACAGACTCACAGGTCTGAAATAACAGGAAACTTGCTGAGGTCTGAAATAACAGGGAGATTTTGTGATAAAATACACTCACTTCTTTGAGGCATCAGTGGCTGCCTGTCAGCATATGGCTTTGGTTTCTCATGAGAATGAGAATCAGTGGGGGCAAAGCTGACACTGAGTGATCCTGCTAGGGAGATTTTGTGATAAAATACACTCACTTCTTTGAGGCATCAGTGGCTGCCTGTCAGCATATGGCTTTGGTTTCTCATGAGAATGTTTTGAGAATATTGCTGTGCTTCACCATGTTTGTGGCTGTGAACTTCAGAGCATTTGTTCTGTTCACCTGTTGAATTGTTGTACTTGTATAATAGCAAATAATGCTTGATGAGAGAACACCTGCTGCCCAAGTGTATCTTAATGACTGGCTCCGTAAGAAAAGGATTCAAAGATACTCTGAAGCTCTCAGGCAAACTCTTGTGACGTCTGGTAGATGCATTCTGACCTTTACCATAAGGCTGCTTTGAGAAAACCAGAGCTTTACCAGCATTGTTTAAGCTTGTGCAACTTACGTGAATTAATTTCAGATTGTTTTCTCTAACATTATAATCATTACTTGTGAAGGAAACAAAACCAGCTTGATGTAGGCATGAGACCTTTCAGATCAGTTTAGAGAAATCCTGAATTAATTTATCTTTCAATCCAGGTCCAAATGCTCCAAACCAAGCCCCACTGGTTCTTCTCGAGGATGTGACCAACATCTATGGTGATACAGATATTGATCGTAACAAACACATACACAAAAAGAGGAAACTTGCTGAAGGAAGAGAAAAAACAATGGTAACTTTTCTAGACTTCTCGGTTCATAACAAGAATGGCATTGGTATTGGAATTTAGACAGTAGTGGTTTTGACATGTTTTTAGAGCTACCCCTGAATAGCTATTTATGACCACAGTTTGCAAACAGATTTTTTTAAATTTTTTTTTTTGCTAAAGCTAGCAAGATTAAAACAATTTTTGTAGCAATTGCTTTAGACATGTCTGTGCTGATGTGAATACTTTAACATGAAGGAGTTCAGCAGAGACCAAAGCAGCTGTTAAAAATGGTAGCAATAGCAGTCAGATGTTCTGCAGCTAAGCCTCCAAGTTAATTGGCTTTTCATGACTGGAATTGTGAATGTTTCTTTAGTGGTAGAAAACCACTATTTTATAGAATTTCTCTGTATGCACTTACACAAGAATTACATTTCCTTTGCATTGTGCTACTGTAGCCTTCAACTGAGTGAATTATATATGTACTTTAGCAGATAGTCTGGCTGAAGCTCAGTGGCAGTACAATGCATTTAACAGAATGAATTGTTTTGGGATGTAGTTTATCACGCCATACCACTGAGTTTCTTAGTAGTAAAATAGATTGTTCTAATATTAAAACAAGCTAAGTGAAAAGTCACTTAAAGGCACTTAAACTAGGACCTTGGCATCTCTAGTACAGAATTGTTTTCTTGTGTTCAGTAGAACTTCTGTGACTTCAGAGTCCTTCAAAATAGGTATAAATTAAGAAGTGAATCTTTTTATACTCACTCTTAAGCAGAGCTCAGATGATGAGGATCCTTCTGGGAAGGCACGAAGTCGCCATATTACAGTAAACAAGGCAGATCTTGCAAACTCTATTGAAGTGTTAGAGAGCTTTAAACTGGCAAGAGAGAGCTGGGAGCTGCTGTATTCTCTGGAATCCCTCGACAAAGGTACGGCTAATGCAGGCAGAGTTGCATTTAGGCTTCATTGCTGTGCACAGAAGTCATTTTAATAGTGTTAAAACAGAATTCCTGTCATTGTGAATCCTTAAAATTTAATTTACTTTGGGTCCTGAGTATTTTTGATCTAAGTTCCAATAAGAAGCTTTCTCAGTTGTTGCATTTCTGAAAATTTGGTTCCTAGATTTTGTTTCATTCTTCATGTGTCTTTGCTTATTCACTCCCACTTCTGCAAGCAGCTTTTACTGAAGGAGCAGTTGGTCAGTAGTAGTGCTGATAATACTCAGACAAGTATGTGCTGCTAATGGCTGCTTTGGTTCGTGCTTAAGAAGATGTGTCTTTACCCTGTCTCTCCCTTTCTGATAATATCTGGTGTGATAAACTTGGAAAAACAGAATTATTTTCTAAAAAGCAGGCAAATAGTACCACCTAGCTGCTTTTAGATTTGTTGGACACTGTGAAGAGAAGTGTAATCAAAATACAATTGTATGGGAAGAGGGTATCTTTGAAAGATTTCACAGTCTTACTGTTTCACTTTTTCACTTTTAAATTCAGCTATTTTTTTTCTAGATAATTTAATTTTAACCCAAAATTGTGAAATGCTTCATTTTCTCTTTTACTTTTTTTCCCCTGACCGCTTATGCAGAGTTCACCAGAATTTGTTTGTCATGGAAGACTGACACCTGGCTTTGGTTAAGAATCTTTCTTACAGACATGATCATCTACCAGGTAAAAAAAAAAAAAGGTACAAACTATTAAAAATGAGACCATTATGTTGCTCTTTCTTCTAGTGAATAGAATTCTAGTGAATTAGCCAGTTTGACTGCTTTAAGTGTCTACTGATTTTATCCTTTAAAGCATGAATCTTTTGGGGATGAAATCATACCATTCTTACCACAAGCTAGATCCCCTACTTCTATGCCCTACAGGATACTCCTGTCCCAGTAGCTGTCTGAGTCCAGCTAGTTTTGGCATATGGAAAAGACCTCTGCTTCGGCATTTTGACCAGTAGATATATATATAGAT